AAGACAACTGCACAATCTAATAAAGCTAGAGACATATGCATTCTACAATCAAGCATTTGCTTCTGTTATTTTTTTAAGCTTGTATAAATGCAAGAAGAGATAAGAACAAGTATATTTACTACAAGATGTTTTGCAGAATTGAAAAACTGGAAATAGCACACATTATCAACAGGAATAAATGAGTATATAATGTCACAGTAATGCACTGTATACCATTCAAGTGCAATAAATAAATCTGTATGTCTCATGGATAAATCTCAAAAACAGAACTTATCAAAGCAGGCAAGTTCCTGCAGGTCCCAATGGCAGATTACTTCTATATAAAGTTAATCACACTGTATTTTGTATACAAATACACAGAAACATCAACAAAGAATAGACTCACAGATAGCAATAACACAAAATTTATGACAACAGTTACTTTTGAGCAAAATGTGATTAAAAATAACAATGAAAACAGCAACAGGGTCAATGTTTAATGTAAAATATATAGGTATGAAGCAGAGAAAACAAAGCATTGAGACCTGACCAAGATGGATACCAGGCATGAGGAAGTTCGATACATTTCCCTCTCATTTTCCATGAAGATTACACAGTAGCAGTGTGGATAATGGAACATAGTGGGGGGCAGGTGGAAGAGCAGCAAGGAGGAGCACAGTGAAAATCTTTTCACGTCAGTGGGGAGCAGTGACAGTGCAGACGGAAGGGAGGAGGCAGGAGAAAAGGGTGGATGTCACACCCAGAAGAGAAAACCAGCAAAATCGGGAGGCAGAGCAGATACAAGAAGTACAATGGAAACATTCTGAGCTCAGTGTAATTCTTCCTGAATATCAGAAAGCAAAAGAGGTTTTTACAACAGAGTTCCTGTATGGAAGAGCTTGTTCAGTGTCCCAATGGACAGGCTAGGCAAAGTCGATGGCAGCACAGGCTTTCGATAAGGCATCCAATCAAATACGGATCCAAAATACAGAAACAGATTTATTCCAACATTCAAAGCCTCAGTTCCCATGTGCATAAAATGAAAACTGTTAACAAAATAACTATTTCCATACTGGTTTAATGAGCAACAATTCTTGTTAGGTTCTGAACAAAGAATCTGGGAGACTAACTGTTCAATAAATGACCAGCTTGATTTACAGCTTCTTTTTCACTCACAAGACACATTCTTTTCGTTTATTTGGTTTGAAACAGGGTTTCTCTGTGTAACCCCTGCCATCCTGGAGCGCTCTGTAGACCAGGCTGGCCTCAAACTCAGAGATCTGCCTGCCTCTGCCTCCTGAGAGCTGAAATTAAAGGCATGCACCACCACCTCCTGGCACAGCCCACAGTTCTAACACATATATCATTTATGACTCTTTGGTGAACCCACCTTGGTATCTGAACTATTTATTTATATGTTCTCTATAAGTCGTTAGAGAAATTGCTCAGTGGTTAGCATCACTTGCTGCTCTCCCACAGGACCTGTGTTCGTCCTGGCACCCACATCAGGTGATTCACAATCACCTCTAACTCCAGCGGGAGGAGGAGCTGGTACTGCTGGCTTCCACGAGCACCTACATCAGTATTTCATAGCCACAAAAATACACATGTGATTTCAAAAAATTCAATCTATCTTTTAGAAAAATTATCAAGATTCTTAAAACCATACCTTACCTAAAAATATGGCTGACAAATTTCACGTAAGTCAGTATCATTTCGCATTTTTTTTTATCTAAAACTTTTTTTTTTATTTTGCAATACAATTCAGTTCTACATATCAGCCACGGATTCCCTTGTTCTCCCCCCTCCCAATCAACTGTCTCACCCATTCAGAGGGCCTGATCCAGTTGGGGGCTCCTCAGCTATTGGTTCATAGTTCATGTGTTTCCATTCGTTTGGCTATATGTCCCTGTGCTTTATCCAACCTCGGTCTCAACAATTCTCGCTCATATAAACCCTCCTCATTCTCGCTAACTATAAAACTATAACCTGGAAGTACTAAGCTTGAGTTATAGGCCCATCTTCTGTCTAACTCTACAAAAAGCATATATTTAAGTTAGTAGGAAGTATGTAAGCTATACTCCAAGACAATAGGGGTTCTGACAATAATTAAGGTAGAAACAGAACTAACCCAAATTATAGTTTATATTTTGCTAACAAGTATAATGCAACATAATGCTAAAATAGGAGATATACACAAACAAACTTACAATTTGGGCACTAAGAAGGGGATATACTGATAAGAAGCCTAAGACATTGACATTACATGTAGGGACTTTTTTTTTTTTACAGTCTTTTAATTCTGCTTTATTTTTTACTTATTTAATTGGACACACAAAAGTATACATAATGTACTGGTAGGGACTTCTTAAAAACAAGGTACTATCTATCCACTTACTTTTCTGAGACAGGGTCTCAGTGAACCTGGAGCTGCCTGCCCATTTTGAAAACTTGAATGGCTGGCCAGCAAGCCAAGAACTACTCGCCTCTGTCTTAGAAGCTTCCTACATTTTTAAGGTTACAGGCATATGCTGCCATACTCAGCTTTTACAGAGGGGTTGGGGATCACAAATCAGGTCATTATGCTTGCTCACCAAACACTTTTACCTTTGAGCTGTTTCCCCAGCTCTGTTCTGAATATTTTTGATCTACGATTGGTTGAATTCAGCTGCAAAAGCCAGGACATCAAGGGCTGGTCACATACAGTACTTATTAAATGTCCTAAGCTCTGTTGCAGTAGCAACAACACCAGCCTTCCTGATCTGCTAGTGGCAGTGCAAACAACTCTGAAAAGAAGAACGAACAGCAAACTGAGAACTCCACCAAGACCCATCAGCAACCAAGCTAGACACAAGAAACGGGGGAAGCTCTGCCTCACACTGGTATTAGTCAAGAGGAATTTAATGGTTTGAGTCTAAAACTGTTTTTCTAAGGCTTCCATAAGGGGGCTTGATTGACAGCTGATAGCTGTTTGAGAGGTGACTGGATCATGAAGGCCTCTAACTTTACAATGGATTGATATATTATTAATTCATAGCTGAACACACTATTAGAAGTAAAGGCCTGGTTGGAAGAAGTATTTTTGGAGGTGGGGATTCTCAAAAGGCACTTGTGCTGGGCTTTTCCTAAGATGAACAGCTCTGTCTCCTAGGCCTTCTGGTTGTCACAATGCTCCTCACCACAGACCAAAAAAGTGGCTCCGTGCACAAACGGAAACTTCTGCAACTACAAGCCCAAAGAGTCTTGAAGTTGTTCTTCTTGGAAACTGACTTACACAAATACCTTAAAATCATCTAGGATTAAATACTTCTGATAAACAGGATAAAGTGCAGGCACCAAAAATATTAAATTAAAAGAAGCAGTGATTTCTCTTACCAGTCTGATGATATGTAGATCCTTTCCTAATATGTAAAGGAAATTAATCTATCACTTTTTTCATGAGGACCTTACATTAAAAGCTCACATATGTGTGTATGTATATATGTGTAAGTTTTGTATCTCAAACAAAAACTTTGAAGAAAACTCAAATTTCACCTATCTAAAATAATCAGTCTCGTTCATATTTTTTCCCAAGCACTTTAAAGAGAACAATAAGAAAGCTTTTCCTTCTACTCTATATGGTTCTGACTGAGGATTTTAGCCAAATAAACCTGGTAGTAGTAATCCTGTATATATTTTGTCTTAGTAACTACCTTAAACAGCTACTCTTACTCTTTTTTTTTCTTCCTAACTATGTCATTTGATGGTAGCTAAATTCCAATAAAATTCTAAATGTAAATAAAATGTCATATACAGTCAAGCAAGAAAACATCAAATTGTATCACTTCCTTAAAAGGTAAAGAAAATTTTACCTGAAATGTTATCATGAAGGATAACCAGTCTATCTTTCTTTTTCTGCCCTTTGTCTCCCACCCCCTTTTCAGTACCATGGATTAAACCCAGGGCCTTATGCTAAGCAAGTGCTTTACCCTCATACTATGTTCCTAACACCATAAAACAGTCTTAGAGTAAAATAATGTTTTGTGCCAGGTGGTGGTGGCGCACGCCTTTAATCCCAGCACTTGGGAGGCAGAGCCAGGTGGATCTCTGTGAGTTCGAGGCCAGCCTGGTCTCCAAAGCGAGTACCAGAAAAGGCGCAAAGCTACACAGAGAAACCCTGTCTCGAAAAACCAAAAAAAAAAAAGAATACAAAATAATGTTTTGCAACTAGTAAATAATATTTTGTGGTATTTGCATATAACATACACAGATCTTCCCTGATATTTTAAATCTTCTCTAGATTACATACAGTATGTACAAGAGTTATAGTAATTTCAACATGTTTTTAGGAAAGATTGACAAGGAAAACAGTCAAAACATGTTTAATACAATGTAATGTTATTTTCAATGCACAGTTGGTTGAACCCATGGATACAGAATCCATAAATACAGAAGGACATGTATACTCCTAAGTATTCCCTTAGGACTCACATAAACAAACTCAATAATCTTTTATTATGTTTCTAAATCAATTTATTTAAAACATGCTGATGCTAACCTTTCAATTATCACATTACAAGTCTCCCAACATTATGGTGATTTAACTGCTGTCTGTTTGGTATACATCTAAATTCTCCTAGTCCATATGATTTAGCATGTAAAAATGCCAAGGAATGACTGGAATAGGAAATCACTTAAATGTCAGACCCCCCCAACTTCAGAACTCTTAAAACAGCAAATCTTGTTTCTAACCTTGAAGTATAAAAGATGTTATCTATTAAGGTATATTTGTAATCCAAAGTATTCAATAACTATCCACATAAAAATATTTATTATTCCTTTAGAGTAAATGTATGTATAAAACAAGTAAATTAATTTTACATTGTGCTTCAATATCAATTCAACAGATGAATTCAGCTATCAATTACATGTCTGTGGTAGAGTTACACGATATCTCTATCACTCACCTCCCACCTGGTATGTGTATATACCCATGTTCATCCCCAATAATACATTAAAGCTTTCGGACAGTAAAAACCTACCTTTGAGGTTCTTTGAAGCTGATCACCAACATATGTTTTACGAAACTGATCCAAAAACCAGAGAATTGCAAGTTCTATTTTTTCATTGGTGCAGCGAGGCAATCTGGTATCCATTAAAGATATAAGCTGAAAAACGCTTTCCATGAAGGAAAAAAAAAGCTTTAATACAAATTCTCAAAGAAACAATATTAAGGTATTTATTACAAACATATAATCACTCTAAAAAGTGAGAAAATACAAAAGCATGTCCAGAAAATGTTATTTTAATCACCTGCGAGCATATACATACTATTCCACTAAAGGTTATATATAGATGCATGACATATACATATAAATATAGAGATAAAAGTATTCTTGTATTTTTAAAGGATATTAAATGTACAGTTATGTTCTTCACTTTGCATTTCTAAATATTTCAAAATCATGACTCAATTCTTTAAAATTAAGATCATATCTATGAAGTTATATTCAGTACTCTATAAATGAATGATTAAAATTTTACCTAAAACATGAAAATATTGCCAAAAATTTTTAAGAAAATCAAGCTGTGTGTATACAAGATGTGGCTCTGGAGGTTGAACTTAGGTCCTTGTACATACAGACAAGCACCCCATAATTCATATCCCCTCTTTTGCTTTTCATTTGAAGCACAGTCTCACTAAGTTGCCTAAGCTGGTTTGAACTCACTCTGTAGCCTAAGCAGGCCTCCAACTTGTGACATTCCTGAGAAGTGCATTACCAGGCTTATTTCAATCATTTTAAATACCAAACTATTATTATTAGCTGTCACAAAATGATATATTTTCAACTGATTATTATTATTTAATTTTTTTTTCATTTTTTGAGTGTGTTTTTATTTTTATTTATTTTTTTTCTTTCTTTTTTTTTATTTTGCAATACAATTCAGTTCTACGTATCAGCCACGGATCCCTTGTTCTCCCCCCTCCCGTCCCCCTCACCTTCCCCCCAGCCCCCCCCCCCCCATTCCCATCTCCTCCAGGGCAAAGCCTTCCCCACAGACTGAGATCAACCTGGTAGACTCAGTCCAGGTAGGTCCAGTCCCCTCCTCCCAGGCCGAGCCAAGCAATCCTGCATAGGCCCCAGGTTCCAAACAGCCAACCCATGCAATGAGCACAGGACCCGGTCCCACTGCCTGGATGCCTCCCAAACAGATCAAGCCAATCAACTGTCTCACCCATTCAGAGGGCCTGATCCAATATTATCATCAGCAAATTGTAAGTGAATGGGAGATTAGGGCAAATTTCTTAACTTTTACTTCTATATAATATATCATTCTCACCCTTGCATTTTCAATGAAGACATCCTTGACCATTGCATACTTTTATGAAAATTTCCTAGTGGAAAATTGTTAAGTACCTTGCATTAACAAAATCAATACATTATGTCAGTGGAGGAGGGGGTAGTACTTGGTTTGGTGTGGTTGAGGCAGGGTTCCACTGTATAACCTAAGATAGCTTTGTATACACAGAAATCCTACCTCAGCCTCCCAAGTGACAGGACTATAGATGTTCACCACCAAGCCCAACCTAGTAAATTATATGATTTTTTTTTTTAAAAGATGAAATGTTGAGGCCTTGCCTAGCCCTGATCCATCTTGTTCATTCTATGTATGCAACATACTTGACTTTGTAAAAATACATTTTATACATATACATTACACAAAGATACATGTAATATTCATCACCAGATTCAATTTACTGTCCTACATCTATCTTATGTTTTAAATTTTATAAAAAGTATGGAAGAACTGAAATAAGTTCAAATAACTTCATTAAGTAAGTTACCTCATTAAGTAATTTTTAGGTGTTGGTTTTATTGAGATAGGGTCTCACTCTGTAGCCCTGGCTGGCGTGGAACTTACTATATAGAATGGTCTCGAACTCACAGAGATCTACCTGGTTCTGCCTGGTTCTGCCTCTGTAAGTGCTGGGATTAAAGGTATACGCCATCACACTAGGCCTTCATTAAAAAATTAAAATCCAAGTTATAAATACATAGTACCAAGTACAAAGAAATGGATTCTGGAAAATTGTTTTGGATTCCCTTGGAAATCCAATTTAATTAATAAGTATCCATTAAACCAACAAAAACTATGTTAAGTATATATTAGGTAATCAAAATACAAAAATGAGAAAGATACAGATATAGCCCCATCCTAGAGAAATTCACAAATAATACATTAACACACAGAATACAATTAACACATAGAATAATGAATGCCAAGTTGGATAACATAAGAAATGCTATAAAGAATTAACAAGGAGCTGGGCGGTAGTGGCCTACGCCTTTAATTCCAGCACTTGGGAGGCAGAGCCAGGTGGATCTCTGTGATTTCGAGGCCAGCCTGGTCTACAGAGCGAGAACTACAGAGAAACCCTGTCTTGGGGGGAGGGGGAATTAACAAGGATTCCTAGTATCCTGGAATAATAACAGTGGAAGGAGAGAGGACATAGACATTTAGAAAGAGAACAAAAAATTGTTTGTTTAAGATTTTTTGTTTTTGTTTTTGTTTTTTTTCAAGACAGGGTTTCTTTGTGTAGCTTTGCGCCTTTCCTGGAACTTGCTTTGTAGACCAGGCTGGCCTCAAACTCACAGAGATCCGCCTGCCTCTGCCTCCCGAGTGCTGGGATTAAAGGTGTGCACCACCACTGCCCGGCTTATTTAAGAATTTTTAAATGGAGGCTGGAGTGATAGCTCAGTAGTTAAAAACACTAACTTCTCTTCCAGAGGAGCTATTTCTAGGACCCACATGGCAACAACTGTCTGTAAGTCCAGTTCTAGGGGAGTCAGTCACCTTCTGGTCTCCATAGGCACCAGGCATCCACCCAATGAACAGACAAGACATATTTGCAGGCAAAATACCCATATGCAAAATAAAAGTTTAAAAAAATTTTTTAAATGTTTAATATAGGGATTCAACAGCCAGAGACAAGAGACAAAGTAATAAGAAAGGCAGGAAGTTGGGTATGGTGGCTCACACCTTTAATTTCAGCACTTGGGAGGCAGACAGATCTTTGTGAGTTCAAGGCCAGCCTGGTCTAGAGTTAAATAGAGAAATCCTATCTCCAAAAACCAAAAAAAAAAAGAAAGAGAGAGAGAGACAGACAGACAGAGACAGACAGACACAGAGATATAGAGAGATGGGGGGAGAGAGAGAGAGGGAGAGGAAGAGAGAGGGGATGGAGGGAAGGAGGGAGGGAGGGAGAGAGAGAGAGAGAGAGAGGGAGGGAGGGAGGGAGGGAGGGAGGAAGGAAGGAAGGAAGGAAGGAAGGAAGGAAGGAAGGAAGGAAGAAAGAAAGAAAGAAAGAAAGAAAGAAAGAAAGAAAGAAAGAAAGAAAGAAAGAAAGAAAGAAAGGCACAAAAATTAAGTAAGGGAGAGCCTGATAAGTCATGTTGATAAACAACAACAACAACAACAACAATCCATTAAAAAAAAAAAACCCAAAGCATGAATGCAACAGAGGTTACCTTCATTCTGAGGAGAGAACTGTCAGCAGAAGGGTGTTAAAGTGCAGAGCACTGAAGCCTGTAGCCTCGAGAACTACAGTCCAAAGAAGCATTATCAGCAGCATCCTGCCAATAACTGCAAATGGGCAAGTGGACAGTCGCCAGTGATAGAAAAATTTTAAAGCCCACCCGAAAAGTGACACAATTCCTCCAAGGCCACACCTCCTCCAAAACGCCACACCTCCTAATAGTGCCACTCCCTATGAGCTTATGAGGGCCAATTACATTCAAACCACCACAGGTACTATGTTTTACTTGTCCCTGATACCTTAAATATGAAGGTTTTTTCCCCCCCTGAGAAATGGAGCGGTTATGCAGCATCAACTTATTAAAACACACTTTAAACCTTAGGAAAATACCAATGGAACATTATTCCTGAACATAAACAAAGCAATGAAATAATGAGATCTGGATTTTAGAATGATTGTTTGGCTGCAGAGAGGAAACAGAGTCCATTCTAAAGTTATACCACTAGTCCAGGTAAAAGATGAAAGCACAAAAGAAAAAGGTAGATTTTCTGGAATAACTACAAAGCGGCTTAGCACTCGAGTATGTGGAAACTAGAAAGAAAAACGAAGGGAAAGATGAGACTGACCCTCCAGACACAGGCTTGGGCCACTCAGTGGTCAGAGATTAGACATAGGAAGACTTAGGGCTAAAGAAGGCAGAAGACAGAAGTTGAACTCTAGTCATCCAATTGCAGATATATGCAGGGTTAAACATTCTTGTGAAGCAGTTTTCAGTAGATCTTTGAAAGTTGGAAGACAAGAATTACTGAAATGAGAAACTGTGAGCAACGTTGGGAGTTCACTGGAACTGAAGGCACGTCAGCTGGCATTGGCAACAAGCCACAAATGTACACAGTGTCTTTTATCAGTGAGTTAGAGACAATCCTATACTCTCTTGGGCTGCAAAGCAGAAGAGAAAATGCATCAATGAACGAAAGCGTTAACACTTCCTCCTCCTGCTACTTTGGTACAATGCACAAACCATGCAGAGGTAGTAAGAACTACAAGGACAGCTGAAGTAGGGTATGGACTATTTGGACAGGGTGGCTAGAGAGGAAGAGTAGATATCCAAATCCCTACTAGAGAGACAACAGTGTTCTGCTTCCAATTACAGCAACTTCCGCATATGTAAGTGTTATTTTGCAATTGGACCTAAGAGGACATTTTAAGTTTAGAATCCCAATATTCTAAAACACATACAATATCTATGTTGTTCACAAACAAGATGCAAGCAAATCTTAGCATATATCCACTTTGAATATGTATTTCCCTGCTTGCACAACCCATCGACCTCAGCACTTGATCACTTGGCCTCTATATCCTCTACTTGTCTCGAAGCCCCAGAAGGGATTCACATAATTCCTAAAGTTACAACTTTACACCAGGGAAACAAAAGTCAAAACTCATTGTATCTTCAGGCACTCAACAGGATCAGATCAACAGAAAGCTCTAACATCTCCAGTTCCCCCTTAAGTGCACTAAGGAGGAGAGAGAAGTTAAAGACCCCAGGTACAGACCTCAACCACTAAGAAGCAGGACTCGGAAAGAAGACAACAGCAAGTTGTTTGCTCTTAGTAAACCCTACCACAGCTGTTGTGAGAAGAGGGGCTGTGTGTAGCCTAGGGGAAATTGCTGTAGAAGTTTCTTATATACACTACTGTGTATGTTGGTTCTCATTATTCACCGCAATGTTCTTCTACAGTCATTGAGAACACTGGAAATACAGGGTTAGCTCTTGTAAGCCTCTGGTCACAATCTGTCAGTGCACTGACTTCTTCTGTCTACTTCTAGTCAAGGACACAGTACTTAACATACAACTTGTTAGCACAGAACTCCCAGTAGTAAGACTGTGTCTGAAACAAAGTTTCTTACACGTTTTCTCTGAGACTCATGACAGCCTTCTTGTGTAGGAACACTAACCAGTGCGTCAACACTCTAGTCGGGCCATTTTAAGCAGTGAAAGAAAGAATAAAAACATGACTGATGTGGCGATGAGGAGCCTGCAAAGGCACACTGATTTATACTGTGAGTGGCGAGACCAAAAGACAGAAGCTGTCTCACACTCGGCTGAGAAACTGAGCAACAAGCAAGTCCGGATTTTTTTGTTGTTTTTGTTTTTTAATCCTTATATACGTTTGCAAATGACAGCAAAAGCACTATGAGAAATGATTTAATGTTTATAAGCAAATTTATCACAAAAACGAATTCCAAAAACAGTAACCAGAGCGATAAGAGCTGACAAGTATCTTCTCTTATTTTTTCCTATCCTTAATTCTCTGAAAAATACAATTTATCACATCTTAATAAAATATCAGCTCATAAGTTCTACTTAGCCCTATTTTCTAGGGAATGCAGGCTAGTAAGGAGACAACTCATTAAAGGTAGATAGTTTTGCTGTTTAAAGAAAAAATGAGTTTTCCTCTAATGAGCAGGTAGATATCTGCTTTATGCCTTATTACATACTATTTTTCTAGAAAGTGCTAGTATTGCTTAATGATGAAAATCTTTAAAATAGCAAACCAACAATAACAGAAGCACCTCATTTCCAATTTACAAAATATGCAATATTACTTAAAAGATGATACAGGGCTTATTTTTCATGTACTTAAAAATTACAAAAGCATTTTACAAAGGCCCTAAACAGTTGATATTCACATTTTCAAGCAACTTAAATTGGTGTAAGAAACAGTAAGTCTTGGTAAAAGTAAATATGTTTTTATATATTCAGGTTCAAGTTTTATCTTTTTTAAAAATAATATTTTGCTGGGCAGTGGTGGCACACACCTTTAATCCCAGCACTCAGGAGGCAGAGGCAGGTAGATCTCTGTGAGCTCTAGGTCAGCCTGGTCTACAGAGTGAGTTCCAGGACAGGCTCCAAAACTACACAGAGAAACCCTGTCTCAAGAAACCAAAATATGTATCTTAATTAAAATACAATTAGAGGTTCAAATCTTATGAAAAAGATAGTACACAAGATGAAAGAATATGCAATGAAAAAAATTCTACTCACAATTACAACACATTTACCAAGACCTTAAGAGTATATTTAGGTCGGGCGGTGGTGGCGCACGCCTTTAAACCCAGCACTCGGGAGGCAGAGGCAGGCGGATCTCTCTGTGAGTTCGAGGCCAGTCTGGTTTCCAAAGCGAGTTCCAGGAAAGGCGCAAAGCTACACAGAGAAACCCTGTCTCAAAAAACCAAAAAAAAAAAAAGAGTATATTTAAAGCTAATGATATGGCTCAGTGGGATAAAAGTGGTTGGCATGCAAGCAAGAGGACTCGAGTTCACATCCCCAGCAAACACATAAAAGCCAGGTATGGCCACATGTGCCTGTTAACTCTAATATTGCAAGGCAAAGATAGGCAAATCCCAGATGCTTGTTGATCAGCTAGCATAATCATGAGTCTTAGGTTCAATGAGAGACTGTGTCAAAACTAACATGGAATATAGTAGTAGAAGACTCCCAACTTCCTTGTCTGGCCTGATATGTATGCACACTCACATACACATTTGCCCATTGTGGTGGTTTGAAAGAAAATAGCCCCCGAGGGAGTGGCAATACTAGGAGGTGTGGCCTTGGAGAAGTGTGTCATTGTGGAGGCGGGCTTTGAGGTCTCAGAAGATCAAGATATCATGCAGTATCTCAGATCACTGCAAGATATAGGATTCTCAGTTACTTCTTCAGTACGTCTACCTGCATGCTGCCATGTCCCACCATGATGAACCTTAGAACTGTAAGGTTGCCACCCCAATTAAATGTATTTCTTTATAAGAGTTGCTGTGATCATGGTGTCTCATCACAGCAATAGAAACCCTAATACACCCATATATTATTCACGCATCCCAGCACACAGACACACAGAATATATTTAAGAATAATGTAACAACTAAGTATTATTTTTCAAGATTTTACTCGAGTAATAGTATTGTAACAACTGATTTCTAGATCAATGGAAACATATGAAAGACCTAAGAAAAGACAAAAGAATTCTGTGTAAGATATAAGTGGCATTACAAACCATTAAAAGATAGAGTTGGCCTTGGTTAATAGTTTGAATAACAAAATATTGAGAACTTTAATATAAACTGAATTATTATAAGTAAGTTTACAAAGATAAGCACAAAAGAAAGTGAGGTATGGACCAAAGAGATGACTTAGTGGACAAAGCTTACTGTGCAAGCAAGAAGACAGGAGTTGGAACCCCTGAACCCACAAAAAAGGTGGGCAACTCGAGTGGCCAGCTGTAATCCCCACCCTCAGGAGGGAGAAATAGGTGATCCCTGTGGCAGACTGCCTAGGCAGACTGGCTAAAATCAATGACAGATCTTACTGCAGTAAATAACAGGAGAGTGATGGAGGGCAGCACCTCATGTCTTTTTAGGCCTCCACATGCACACATCTGCACATGTACCCACGCACATCTGTATCCACTCACAGGAATGAGCATACATACACACATATACTACACATGCAAAAAAAAGGGTAGATGATACATATAAATAGCAATAATAAAAAAATTAAAATTATAAAAAATGAAAAAGAATACAAATTAACACAAGCCATTTGTTACACTAACCTATCAACTATAATAATCTTAGATAATGTTGGCATCTACAGGCTTTGGGTTTGGAAGATAAAATGGTATATTTGAGTATCATATCAAGTATTTGAGACACTATGTCAGATTTCAGGGCTTTTTAGATTTTAGAGTGTTTGTTAGTTGTGTTGGAATTCAGTTTCAGATTTTAAAGCACCGTGGATTTTAGGTTTTCAGATTAAGGACTACACTGAACAAGTATAGCTCTTCCAAAGGCCAACTGGTAATACTTATTATGAGTCTTTAAAATGCTATGGACACTTTGATGAGCTATTCAACTTTATGAAATTAACAAATGAAATTCTTTCAATCTATAAAAACTAATGTTTACTTGGAGGTAATTTATAATAATAAAGAAAAATTGAAAAACAACATAAAATTTGAAAATCAACTTTAAATTATGGCATAGTCCAGGTTATTTAACTTTTAAGTTAAATGTTCACAAACTGTGTTCAATTTAAACAGGTATGTGTGTATAATACATCAATATTTACCAGGCATTGTTCTAAGCACTAAAAATTCATTTGAATCTTTTAACAGCCCCAAATTAGATACTATTTCCATTTTTCTCGTTATAAAACAATGTTGTAACAATTTCTGCTTTTAAGAAGGTTGAAAATACACATGTAGGGTCCATACAAAACTGGCAATAGTACTCTGAAAATTCGTATGATATTGATTTTCATTGGAATGTTAAGCCTTCACCGAAACAAAAACTACATGAGTGTGTAGGAAATACGGTATTTGATCAAAATCTGTGGAAAAGTAAGCTGTTCACATTATTCACAGGAATTTCCCTCAGTTTAGGAAAGTGTTAAGAGTCACAAAAGCTTATTAAGGCTGTGATCACTAGCACTAAGGGGTTAAAAAAATCAAGTAAATTTGAGCCTATTTGTTGAAGAATCAAATAATACGTGCACTGATTTTCTCACGAGTCAAAAGGGAACCAATGGCATCATTTTGTACTAGGCCATATAAAGCTAATTCAAAGGCTAAACTTCTTAACTGTGTAGTAAGAATGGCTACTCACCGGCAGGATAGTTCTCCATCCATAGCATCATGCTCATCTGTGCTGGTGTATGTTAATCTCCCTCCTACAACTGTGCCAACTAAGTATATCAGCCATGCGAGGCGTCCTTACAACAAGAAAGAAAAAAGATGAGAAGTATTGATATATAAGCTTATTTTTCAGAAATCCCTAAATGAGCAAAAACATACATTCTTCTAAACAAATAATTAACTATTATAAAGTCAGTTTTCAACAGACAGTAGAGCACTGGGTCTCATGTTTATCAAGGCGGTGAAAACAGCAGATCTTCCAGCAAGGGGGAAAAAAATAGGTATGAATCCCAGTTCCGCCAATCTGTTTCAATTTTATGAGGTACTTACCTACCTCTTAAAGTCTTAAGATTTTCATTTGCAAATGGGGAAAAGTAAGATGTGATTGAATTTATTAAACTTTATAGATCTGGCCATGGTGATCCAACCTCTAATCCCAGCAGTAGAGAGGCAAAGGCAGGTGGATCTCTGAGTTGAGGCCAGCCTGGTCTATTTAGAGAGTTCCAGCAGAGTTACACAGTCTCAAAAAGCAAAAAAAATTAAACTTGATAAGACCTTAAACGTACTATGAATAAACATTCCTGTTATCCAGCCAAAAGCACTGTAATTGTGGTCACAATGGTGCATGAAGATGATCCAGCACTGAGGAGAGGTGGGGGGCTAGAAAAGGAAGACAATAGGAGCTCCATGAATTCCAGGCTAGCCTGGGCTGAATAATGACATTCTGCCCCACCCCCATCCCCCAGCCCTCTCAAAAAGTCTATTATTGTCAGCTGGGTATGATAGTATACACAGCAATGACAGAACTTGGAAGTGTGATGCATAAGGAAGGCAAATCTGAGGTAAGACTGCACTCCACAGGGACTTCCAGGCCACTCTGGGGTACATATCAAGACTACACACAACAAATCCTCTTCGCCAATAACCATCTCTGTTCTCAATGGTCAGTTTTATGAGGGTGTCTGTCTACCCATTTTCATTTTGAAACTACTCTGCTTGTAACATTACAGATAATAATAAATTTACTCTCTTTTAGACTTTTTTCATATTTTAAAAATACAGATTTTTTTCTATGCACTTCACTGATTACTGAGTTACCTTAATGGTTAAAAATACCCAAGATGACACAGCTTTAAGTAATGGAACAAAGAGCTAGGGAGTTAATTTAGTGAAGCGTCTGCATCAGAAGCACCTGAGTTTGGTCTTCAGAACCCACATAAAACAAGCTGGGTGTGGTTGCACCCACTTGTAAGCCCAGTACCAGGAAGCAGAGACTCCTGGGCTCTCTAGCCAGTCAGCAGTCATGTGCTCTGGCCATGTGCTAAGTTGCTGGCTAATTAGTGAGAGACCCTGACTCAAAAAACAGCAAAGAACACAGAAGGAGCAATATCTGATGGTCGATGGTTTCCACATAAATGTACACATGTGCATGTTCACAAATGAATGAACACACACACACACACACACACACACACACACACACACACACACACACACACATACACACACCCCATCCCACCAAAGGGGAAGTATCTATAGCTTTCACAAATTTTACTTTAGAGAAGCCAAAATTAATAACTTTAGGAATGGAATTATTAGCTAAATGAGTTTTAAGGAGCATTATATTAGGTCTCAAGATTTATCAATCCAAGTGCTAGATTCTCTAAAAACTTTTGAGACCCGTAAGAATATTTTAAAACATAAAAATGTCATTTCATAAAGAAATTTTGCATCATTTTTGAAAACTAATTTTTCAAAGATAAGCAAACTATTTCACAATTCCAAATTAATCACGTTTATTTTATTAAGAAATCTTGGAGGCTAGAGTGATGGCTCAGCGGTTAAGGCACCCAAACTGTGGTTCACAACTGCCTATAACTCTAGTTCCAGAGGATGCAATGCCCACTTCTGATCTCTGTAGACACCAGGCATACACATAGTGCAAATACATGCATGCAGGCAAAATACTCATACACATAAAAGCAAATTTGTACTTAAAAAAGAATATTCATGTGACCTTTGTACTTGTTTAAATATGTTGAATAGTTAAGAAAAAGCTTGTGCTTGTTAAAGGACTTGGGAAGAACAAATCCATTTTCAACAATGCTTTTCCTGCAGATGTTAGGATGATCCATGATTACACAGCAGCAATCAAACCAATCAAACCACTCCCTTGGGACAGCAGGGGATCCTCAGTCTGCTTCAATGACAAACACCCTATAAAGAAGATACACATTTTGTCCATCACAAAACCTTAAACAAGTCAGAAACTGCCAGTGTTATGGCATATCCATTAACACAATGAGACAGTTAAAGCCGAAGAACTAACGTGGTCAAGGAGCACATCACAGAACAAGTTTCACTGCATGTATTAAGAAAGATACTAGCACAAAGCCCATGTGAGAAGCTGAGTTCACGATTGTGCTTCAAAAGTGTTTCCAGCTCAAAAGAAAAGTCTAGACAACATATAGTTCCCCTGGTAAGCATGCTAACAGTGTGCCTCTTTCTACCAAGCCTCTTGAATCTTGCAACTTGAATATGGAGTATTTATGATCCTTATTTTTACTTCTAGAATACTCTCTTAATCATAAAAGTATTCATCCTTACATCTTACATAAACAAATTATGAATACTCTTTGCTGATGTACTTATATACTTTCCTGTAGATTATTTCTCATTTTAAAAACTGGACCTGGCTCATTGTCAGTTTTTCCAACAATATTTTATCATAGTAGTTGCCAATTTCAATACTGATAAAGAGAAATCTTACAACCATGATAATCCTATGTTCTACTGGGGACCACCTAACCCATAGATCTACTATATTTGAACAGGTCTGCTAAAATAAAAACTCATATACCATACAACTCAATCTTATGAGTAAAGTCACAGGATTGGGCAACCAACACTACAAATTTTTTAAGTGTTTTCCTATTTCCAAAATCGAATCTCACAATGATTAAGTGTACTAAAATTAAACTTGATAAAGCTAGGTGTGGTGGTGATGGGTCCTCTCTGAAGGAACAACAAGCATGTCATTGTTTGGAGAGGTAACATTTTACATACTCCTTCAATTGCTGGATGTTGGGATTATTTTCACCTCCTGGCTACAATAGCATACTATGATGGACACTGTATATACTGTATAAGTGCATGCCCTCAAATCTCCACACACCTAGGAATGGACTACTGTGTCATATGGAGCCTCTATGGTATGAAGAAACTCTCACATTGTTTCCATCAAGCTGCACCATTTGGCAATCCTGAAAATGAAGTGTGAAGTCCTATGTTCTACAAATATTGTTACTAACACTTGTAATTATGTTTTTTTTTTTCTCTTTACATCTATCCTAGTGGGTGTGAGATGGTATCTTAGTGTCATCTTGAGATGCCTTCCCTTATGACCAATGGTTTTTAGCATATTTTCATGTGTTTACTGGCTACTTTTATGCCTTCTATGGAGAAAAGTCTATTTAAATCCTTAAGCTATTTTCAAGATTTGTCACTATTACTGAATTGTAAACATTCTTCATTGCATTGTTTGTAGGTTTTATTTTCACCTTCTTGATGGTGTTCTTCAGGGAACAAAATTTTTACTTCTGATATATTCCAACTACCTATTGTTGTTACTGTCTGTTTGGGGATGCTTGCTAAAAAAGATATGCCTAACCCAAAGTCATAAACATTTATACCTATGTATCCTTCTGAGAATTACTTGACCTCTTATGTTTAGGTCCAAGAATTCTAGCATAGACAACAGACTAATGTGAAAGATGAACACAGACAACTTGAGTCCCAGCTATCAGCTAACTACAACACCTCAAAAAGCCCATAAAATTAAGATTAAAAAAAAGCAATTGTTAATTGACAAATCACTAAGCTTTGGCAACAAAGAAGTAGAACACAGTCCCCTCTGCTTCACTGCTTTCTATTTTAGCACATAAGGACTTCTAACATATTACATATCTTATATAGCTGCTCTTAATTACTGCCTGTCGACTCCAGCAGACTGTAAACTGCATGACAACAGGCACTTTTGTCTGTTCGGTTTTCTAATCAACTCCACAATCTAAATCACAAACTAGCATGTATTATTGGTTTAACATTAGCAATTTATTGCACACTGAAATACACACTCACTAAAAATAAATATAGACTGTAATTCCCTGACTCTCAAACCACACCCCCACCCCTTACCCTTCCCTGAGACAGGGTTTCTCTGTGCAGCCCCGGCTGTCCTGAAACTGGCTCTGTAAACCAGGCTGGCCTCGTACTCAGAGATCCTGCACTACTACCGCCCAGTGAATTCCCTGACTTTTTAAATTTATCTTTTTGTTAAAACTTATTTGTAACCCTAAATTGGTACTCAAATAATTCATATATACGTGCCTAACCTTAAAGGCTGAGTTGTCTGGCGTACACGATTCCAGCTCCTGTTGAGCAATGTGACCCTCTTGCCTTATTTCAGCTCTAACTGGCATTCTTTTCAGGCTCTGTATTTCTATTGTTTTTTTTCCCACTTTGACCCCATTAGTGATTTCAATATTTGAGATAGCCCAGGGATCATACTGAAGTGCTATGTAGTGTTCCTGAAAGGGGGTGGAGGGTGGGCAGGCGGGTATTATGTATGTAGTGGTAGTTGGTGGCCATTTGGGAATGATAAGGAAGTGTACCACTGGGGGTGGGCTTAAGGTTTCAAAAGCCTCCTGCCATTCCTAGTACTTTCTTTGCTTTCTGTTTGTAAGTAGGAATATGAGCTCTCAACTGCCACTCCAACACCATGCCTGCTACCATGCTATGTCCATGATGGTGATGAACTCCTAGTCCCCTGGAACTGTAAAATCCAATTAAACGCTTCCTTCTAAGTGGCATTGGTCATGGAATTTTTTTTCACGGCAATAGAAAAGTAACTAAGACATGTGCCTTCTATATAACATATGTGTTAAGCTGTGTTCAGATATGAGTCAATAGTGCTATTGGTTCTGAGTTCAATGTTAATGAACCAACAATATGTTTAAATAAGAGCTCTTATGAATACTTATACATGAAAAATTATTGTGTCTGATGGAAATGCTAC